TTGCTTTATTGGCTTGAGATATAAATTGTTAAATGATGAAAGATGAATTTGGCAAAATTTCCATTAGTAAAAGAATTGTTCGATTGTTTCTGGTTATTAAATTTTTAGCCATGTTATCTTTTCATGCTTAAATAATATATCGACATTTTATTGTTAGCCCATAGTAAGTGTCGGAGTCGACCCCTCGTCACTATTTATTCGAAGTTAGACTTGATACTTACTGGGCACGTGTTGATTTACGCACTCATGCTACATTTGCTACACATTTCTATGCATGTGCATATATGTCTAGTGGCTCTATGACGGCATAGGCATGGTTATTTGCGGGGACTTAGGTGAGCTGCATTTCCATATTACGATCCGCAGCCAGCAAAGTCTCCTTCAGAGTTACTTATGTATTTTTCTATCTAATTTGTATTCCGGACAGATGTTGTATTTTATTTTATCTTCCTAGTTAATGCTCATGCACTTGTGACACCGAGTTTTGGGATGATTATGGGTTGTTCAGTATTGAAATTGTTAAGACATTATTATTTACTTTGTAAATTTCATCTTTTACTATTTAATAATTGAAGAAAATTTTGTTTTCAAAAATACTAAAATGAGAACTAAATTAATTGATTATTGTTGGCTTGCCTGGCAGCGGTGTCCGGCGTCATCACGATCTTTAACGGATTTTGGGTCATGACAATATTATAAAGAGTCGTCTCTGGTATAACATGATTATTCTTTGTAGATGCCTCTAGTGGAATCGAAATAATATTTCTATGTCATGCATTTCTTGCAAATATCATATCAAGAGGCATGCCATTGTTAGCAATAATAGCAAGTGGTGTACCAACAACGATTTTATTGTGAGGCTACCCACTTTAGATTTGATATACCTCTTCAAACAACTTAAATTACCATCATAAATATATCAAAGCAGAGCAATGATGCTAAATTTATAAGGAAAGCAAAATTGATAATATGGAATTAAACACTTATGGCAAAGTGTTAAACGATCGAAATAATTGCCCGAAATTCTTATTAATAAACCGTTCGGTGGAACATTAATAGTTTGGGAGGGGATCTCTGTCAAGTACTACCAGTAGTTCCAAAATCGATAAAAACAGAGATTGTAAAAGCTAACTTACCAAAGTTATACTTTTGGCTTCAAATGAAAAAGATTCAACAGACAAAAAATATAAAGTAAGAACAGATCCACTATTCAATGTCTTCTTGCTTTGTGTCGAAAATAAATAAGAGCATACAATAAAATATGATTTGATTTTTCCTAAACACTTGATTATCAATCCCAATCGTAATAGTAGTACATTTAATAAGAGAAATATTTCTATCATTAGATTAAAATGCAATTTGTACAAATCGCATGATAGAATTAAAAAGATATCTTAGCTAGCAAAAATGAATATGTTGATCAACTTAATAAAGGTTAATTATAAAATTTTGTAATAAAAGTAATATATTGTTCAGTTTTTGACTCAGTAGAAAATGATACCAGTAATTACTACTAAAAAGAATACTTAAATATTTTAATACGAAATGGCCTTCTACCATGCATATTTGTTGTCGAGTTTATTATCTCTTTCGTATGTTAGTGTCACGGTATATATAATAGACTAAGTTAAAATCGATCTTCCATTGTATCTATAATTTTGAACAAAAAATATGTATGTCAATTGTCATGCTACTGAAAAACTTAGATACGCTCTAGCATATGTAATAGCACACATATGGTATATAGAAATTTTGACAAGAACGTTATACATGTACCAATTATGATACTGGTCATTGTGCTCCTAAGTATATTCTTATCTCTAGATTCAACTTTCGTCTTCCAAAACTAAAACAACAACAACAACAACAACCCAGTGTAATCCCACAAGTGGGGTCTGGGGAGGGTAATATGTACGCAGACCTTACCTCTACCCGATGAGCAGAGAGGCTGTTTCCAGGAGACCCTCGGCTCAAAGAGGCAACAAGAGACACTATATTAGTACTATCAATAGACTCATAATAAAACAACATAAAATACCATTAAATCCATAACATAACATAAATACCATAAAAATAAAGTAACAGCAATATAAGATATATAGGAAATACGAGAAAGATGGAAGGTATTAATACACAACAGATAAAGCCCATCATCAGTAGTTGATCAATAGCATCTTAAGACTAACTCCTAACTGGCTAGTCTCACTCTAGTACGCTGTAAAAAAGACATCACAATTTCCCTAACCTACAACCTTAATGCTCGATCTCCACAAGTCCCTGTTTAGGGTCATGTCCTCAGTAACCCTAAGTCGCGTCATATCCTGCCTGATCACCTCTCCCCAATACTTCTTAGGTCTCCCTCTACCTCTCTTCGTACCCACCACAGCCAATCACTCACACCTCCTCACCGGTGCATCAGTGTTCCTCCTCTGAATGTGCCCGAACCATCTGAGTCTTGCTTCCCGCATCTTGTCCTCCATGGGGGCCACACCCACCTTCTCTCGAAT